GGGAAAGAGAGAGGGAGAGAGATAGAATACTGATGAGAGAGAAACACCCATTACCTGCCTTCTGCCCCTCCTCCCCCCAACTGGATATTGAGCCCGCAACCCTGGCATGGGCCCTGAAACTGGGAATCTAACCAGTGACCTCTTAGCACATGGAACAACGCTCAATTAACTGAGCCATATCGGCCTGTCAAAATAACCCTTATTTGTAAATTGCTACATTACATTCAGTAGTGGTTTAACTCTAATTTGATTCATTTGTCCATTAATATTGGATCCATAAAGTATTTTGTTTTTTAATTTTACATTACATTATGATACAACTTTTTCTTTCTCATATAATAAATTATTACCTTGCTAGAGGCCCAGTGCATGGATTCGTGCACATTGAAAGTAAATTAATTAGAAGGTGGCCAGCAGGGTGGGACTGGATGAGACGGGCCGGCCACACCCTGGAGCCAACCTCCCACGGTCTCTCCCCAGCCGGCCACACCTAGGGTGGCGCAGGGGCTTGAAGGGCATCTGCGAGTGAGCAGGGTCCCTCTGGCAGGTGGGATCCTTCAGCCTGGCCTGCGGGGATCAGGCTAAGTCCGCAGTCCAACATCCCCTGAGGGGTCCTGGAGTGCAAGAGGGCACTCTGCAAACTTGCTGTTGCTCGTCAGCTCGTCCAAGTTGCTGTGTTGAGCGTCTGCTCCCTGATGGTCATTGCGCGTCATAGCTACCAGCCAGTTGGCCTGTCAGCCAGTAGGCCACTTAGGCTTTTCTATATACAGATGACAAGTTCTGACGACAATGATATTTTTATGGCTCTTGACACTGCTAAGCTGTTTTCCAAAAGAGTGCCAAATACAATGCCACCCATCAGTGTACGTGTGTCTTTACCATAACCTCATCAATACTGGGTTTTATAGTTGATATCCTTTTCTAATTTCACAGCAAAAAGGATACTTAAAAAGTTTAATGTGAACACTGCTCCAATCATTTTTACACTGTTGTATTTAGGAATTTACTTAGAATGAAAAGAGTTTCTGCTGTTAACTGAGACATTTAAATCACCCCCAAATTCCATTCCCCTTAATGTACTGCTTAATTAGAGCTTATCAGTACTTAGGAATTTGGACTAGTAAAATTATGGGAAGTTAAGTAAGAAAAACAGCCTTTTCATGTGCCTATACATAAACATTCAAAGGACTTACTTACCAAGATATCTGCTGTACACTTGACTATAAGGCAATGAGTAAAACAGTCCAGCCGAATCGTGCCGCTTTGCTGATTGAGGTATACTTGCTCTTCTGGCAAAAGGTGGCCTATCCTACTGCTGGCACTGAGACTGAATGGGGAAGGAAAGAGAATGCACTGTAACTGCCTACACTAACATGGGAAGTAGATAAATCTAAAAAGAATTTAATGAATACATACGGATCTTTATTCTCCTGTGAGCCAAACATAATCATAGATTTCAAAGCATTCCAGTCCTGTAGAACGCGCTCCAACGCAAGCTGGGCAAATCTGGGGGGCTCTAAGTCATGATCAGGCATATCTGAATCTAAAAAGCAATAATGGGTGAGACAAAAGAATAAACACCCACTTTTCCTATGTGGATGTGTTCTGTAACTGTAAATTTACTCACCTTCAGGATTGGCTGTTTTTCGATTACGATCCTCCCTGATCCGAGGAGGTCTGTACTGGCAATGCTCTACTGTCTGCCTTGCAACTGTTTGCACTAAAAACAATAGCAGGTGCTCTCCCCTGTACAAAACAGAACACTGTTGTCAGGGGGACTGTGTGTGTGTTTGGGGAGGGGAGGGGGGACTGGGGACGGCACTCAGATGTGCATCCTTTATCCACCTAATTTATGTCCTAAAAACCCCACTTGCCTGCTGTTTGGCAGAGTGACCAGATTAGTAGCAGTGAGCAGGCGATAAAGTAGATCAAGGCGAGCAGATTTCTGTCCAGCAATTAGAGTTTTGCATTTACATTTCTCCCAACAATCACAATAGGCTGTCGGTGATGTCCGTTTGAGTCTAGAAAGAATTCATACACAACTATAAAAACTGAAATTTTTTTAAAGATACAAAGATTATATTGAAAAATGGAGGCATTGAACCAAACAGAACTTATTAATTTCTGAACGCAAAGTGCAACTGTTAAAATATATGTAACAATTACACAAAACTCTTATGAGAAGAGGTATCTCAAACAGGACTCAGTATAGTCACTTCCTCTGGAGTCTGTTCCTATTTCCCTGCAGCCCCAGTTCAGTTTATGTGATCTTCCCATGTGCCTCTCATGAACCAAAACCCTATGGGCAGATGTTTCTTGCTTGTGTCCTCTGATAGGAGTGTCAACCCTGTGAGGACAGGGACTAACTTTGTCCACCACCACCCTAACTTCTAGCACAATGAGAGCACTTAGTAAAGGCAATCAATGAATAAACATGATCAATTTTAGATACCTAAAATAAGGTAGACGAACAGCCAAAATTCTTTGAATAAAAATCCTAAGTATTAATACAATATCTATAAAATTTTCCACTTGTCCTACATAACTGCTTATTTTAAAGCAGAATAGGTGGTTTTTACAAACCAGTCTCCCTTATCTGTAACACCTACCCATCTGCACCAATTACGCTCATGTCCCTACGAGACTCTGAGGCACTCGGGTACTTACTACTTCTCAGATCTGTGAAAACTAACAAACTAGCTAAGGTAACTCTACTGCTGAATTGAAAGGTTATCACCTTTAGTTTAACATCCACTATGATTCTCTTAATGTGATTTCTTGCTACAAGGGACCTAATACTGGAGAATACAGACAAAATCATCCTATCACTATACCTCAAAAGATTAACTAGATCCTAGTCACAATGTATGACCACATATTCCTTTGCATATTAGCCTTCTTTTATTTAAAGAACAAACATTTCAAAGTACACTTTAAATCAAGAGCCACATTCTAATATGTAAACTGGCTTAAAGAGGAAAGAGGACTAGACAATAAAACCTCATGCTTTCTGAACTATGGAACAAAACATGACTTGGTACAGATCATTTTAATGCAGCAATAGGAATCTAAGCAGTTTACAATGTTAGAGTAAACCAGATTGTACTCACTTGCAATCATGGCCTTTATGGCAAACTCTGGCACATTCCGTACAACAACAGAGTGACTCCAGCAAGCCACACGTTCGACACTCAAAAATATCCTAAAATTAAAAGGGTATACTTCAATAAAACACACACACACAAAATTATTATTTCTGGCATTTTCTAAAACATTTAAATGATGATAGCAGAGCAAAATTAATGCGCTCTGAAAACAAAGTAATGGATGTTATAGTGAATATACATTTTACAATATTAGACAAATGCAAATCATATAATCTTATTCTACCAGTAGGACAAAAATAATTTATACTATCCAAAAAAGAGAATTACAGCTATAAAATCTACATCAATAGTAGTGGATCAGATTATACTACCCAGTGAAGATTTCTCATTTTCATGATATCCCATAACTAAGTTAAGAATCAACTTCTCTGCTTCATTTATTTAGGAATTAAATAAAAATTAATTTTCTTGGGAGAATTTTATAACTTAGAGTAACAGGAAATATCAGACTTGTAATATATCAAGATAAACTATAACTCTGGTGATGGTCAAAGGGGGGAAAAAAGAAAACCTGAAGATAGCGTAAACATAGGAAAATGTAAAATAACTTACCTGGTTAATGTGCTCTGCTCCAGTCCATGTAAAACTGCAGGTATCATTACAACATAAGACATATAATGGAGAGTCATCGGGGTTGGTGCCTGATGGGCAAACCATTCCCATAAAAACATCTTCCTCTTTTTCACTTGAGGATACTTCAGCTACAAAGATTAAAGAAAGGACTTAATCACAGCCATCTGCTACTTTCCTCAAATGGAAAAGCTCTAACATTTACATAGTATAAATAAGAAACTACTACATATTAATAAAAAGAAAAAACCTGATATGCAAAGTCAATATGCAAGGAAATCCCATCAATTCTGTGCAAAGTGTAACTATCTCATAACCACGTTTGAGGACAATACAAATGCACCACACATCAGCCACCTGAGTCCTGCACTGAGTTATGCAGTTAAGATTCAAGTCCAACCTATTTAACAAAGTACAATCACATCAAATATTTATAGCCAGTATTTTAAAGAGATAACCACTTCAATCTCATAAATGCTACATGACAGGAACTGGTATTCCTTAATGTTTTCTATTAAGCAAGTATTCCAAGTCAGAAGAACAATAAGATATCTGACCTCTAACTTCTATAAAATGTTATCACTACCACCATTTTAACCACTGGCGGATTCTATCAATAATTCATCTTTATTTTCAAAAGATAGGTCATTTATATTATATATTATGGAAACATTTTGAAATTTAAGAAATCTACACCAGCTGCTTTTTGCTAGAAAGTTGGAATATATAACTCACTTGAAAATGTAAACATGAATTTTACACACAAACACTAACATATACATGCACAAAATTATCTTGATAATTTCTAATCATATCATTTCAATATACAGAAATCAGTTTTGAATAATTACAATATTATGTGTATACAAGAGAATCTATTCAAATTTTAAAATATGCAACTCATTTAGGACTTGAAATAAATTACCTTTTGCAATTTTCTGGGCTGTTTCTAAGATGGTAATTGCCGCTGGGTAAGCTCGGCCACTTACAGCTGACATAAATGGGGTCATTCCCCTTGCATCCCTAAAATGAGAAAAATTGTACATAAAAATATCAATTATCAATTACTTTTCCTTACTGATTGTAAAAAAGAAAGACATGTTCATGATGCAGTAACTAATTATGTTTTGTTAAATAATGTCCCACCACTCAAAAAGAATGTTCTGGTCTCATATTATCTCACTTAGGAAAGAAAGCCCCCGTCTCTCTAAACCATGCTTCCTTCTTAGCCTTTAGTGACACTATTGACCAGTAAGGGCTCTGGAGTCAAACCAACTCTTTTTAAACGTAGGAGTAGGAAGAAGGCTCTGTTTCGTAAGATTGTGATGAGGATTAAATAAACTACTTAAAAAGCTTTTAGTACAATGCCTGCCAAATAATATGTACTCAATACACGTTAGCTATTATTATGTATTTTCCCTTACACACATGCCTTCAATATTCTTTACTGAATTTCTACTCCCCCCTGGAATTTCCAAAATCCCAACCTCAGACATATGTGCTTCCCTCTCTCATCCACCACAGCAGCTGCCACTTCTATGAGGTCAGTACAGTCCCAGCACCTATACCTGCTCACTTGATAAATCTAGTTAGCATTTCCCAGTGACCCCTCCCATTCAACATACCTAACCACTAAAGTCATCTTTCTCCCAGATCTGCTCTCGACCTGAATTCTCTCTGAGAGCCAACAGCATCACTGTTGCTAGTAACTAAGACAAAACTTGGATTCTTTATGAAAATCTTCCTTCTAAATCAATTTTTTACCTTTGCTTCTAATCTTTTCCATCTTTAACAAATCAGTGTATTGCAACACACAAAATGAAGGCTGTAAGTAGGCATATACAATATAGCCTCAACTTTATTCTCTACTCTTGCCTAATTTTAACACTTTTTTATACCACATTCATATTATTTTTATAACCCCACTTTGATACTGTTGTAGTCTAAACAAAGCCATTATTCAGAGAATCCAAGCCCAAAGAATAGACCGAAGTGGTGGCTTTAACTTAACTTTTCAGATTCACTGGCTACTATTCTTCTCTTCTGACCATCCACCTTTAATTAGACGAGTTACTGTCTTAAAATATTTATAGTTCTCCATTTTAATGTTGTTGCTCACTCTTCTCCCTACTCATTCCTCATGGTTCTACTCAAACTTCATCTTCATAAAGCTTCCTACTTTAGAACACATATTTCCTTTATGTTTATTCCAAAATATACGTGTCCTTCCTGTCCCAAATTAATGTCTCAGTTCTGTTTCCTGCTCTGCCACTCACTAGAGTTTTATAACCCTAGGTAAGTTCAATAACCTCTGAAAGCCTGGATTTTCAAATGTATGATGGGAATAATATCACCTACTTCAGACGGTTATTTCTAGAATTAGAAGCTAATGCAAGTAGAGTTTGGCACAGATGATGACTAATTTTTATAAAAATGTTTATTGTTATGAGCTTGTAAAGATAAACAATCATGCTGAAAGCAGGATATGATCTATTAATGGTTAATGAGCATTTATCACAGAATACTTATCAAAAATTCTGCATAATCTCATGATGATGCATTCTGCAAGCCAAAAAAATTTCCAAAGAAACCATCAGAATCATCATGCAGTTCTAAATACAGATTCCAGGCCCCATCCCAGACCTACTGAGTCATACTTCTAGTGTAGAGCTTTGGGGAAGAATCTGTATAATTTTCAGTTTTCCAAGCGACAGTGGTAGAACTAATTTACGGATTCACATTTGAGAATAAAACGCATCTTTTTAACATATGTACACTCAAATCAAGCTAACATAAAATCACTTTATATTCATTTAGTGGACACTGAATTTTATGGAGAAAGCATCTTTCGCTGAAGAGAGCATAGTAACAGAGGGCAAACAATGTTGGATTCTATTAAGTATACTAAACTTCTTACTTGGCAGAAAGGAGTTCTCGTAGATAGGGCTGCAGAACAACACTGTCACATAACAATTTCAATATAAAATGAGCATTGGCCTTTCGATCCTTGGATTCTACTACAGATGGCTCTGTGGAAGGACCTGTAATTAAGCAGATCCATTTGGTAACAAAACAAGAATAAATAAGACCAAGTGAAAGAATATTCTGGAATAACATACTAACTATCTATTAAATATACCACGAGAAAAATATTCTAGTATTAGTAATAAATTAATAACTTCATTAAAGAGAATTTAAACACATTAACACATTTTACAAATCTCAACTGATGAAATGTATGTGCATCCACACAATTTCACTGACACATGGAAGATAATTCAGAGAATGAGATGCTTCTCAAGCCAAGGAACGTCTCCTTGAGATAAAAATGTGGCTCTGTCAAACCCATTTGTGAAGTGTGTTCCTCCAAATGTCTAAGCAAATGCAGCAGTACAGATTCTCACCTGGAATGGTGGAGGTGCTTGGTCCTTGAGCGGTGCCAGAGGCTGCTGTGGTAAGAGATCCCACAGCAGGGGCCAGGATAAAATCAATGTCACCATCTTTCAGTAAACAGAATAGCAGGATGCATATCATTATAGGCAACATATCCCTAACTTGTTCTCTTAACTGGACTTAAGGCTCTTCTGCACAAGCCAAATGACAAATCAGACAGAGGTTTAAATATAAACTTATTTTCCTAACTATAAAAGAAGGAATCCACTAGATAATTTACTTATTTACCCAGCTGTATTGCTGAGTAGCTTCTTATCAGAGTATGGAAATATTTCAGTAAGGAATACCTGACAAGATTTTCTGGAATTTTAAATTTTAAGTTACAAACCCCTTAAACCAAATCTTTATAACTAAATTAGTTACAATACACATTACGCTACTTTTAAATATTTCAGATTTACCAATAACCCATTTAAAATGCTCAATTTCTCTTCTTTCATAACTCTATCTTTTTGTTAAAAACTAAATAAAATAACAGATCTTACCAGGATCCATCGCAGGAGGATCAGGAACCCAACTAGGGGGGGCTATCGGGGGTGAAACTGGATCCTGATGGTCACTGGATGAAGCTCCAGCTTCATGTCTACCCAAACCAGCCGCTCTCAATGAACGTCGCATCATTTCCCGTAATCTCAAACTAGAAGAACATGGACAAAATCAAAACTCACTACCATGACTAAATGTAATGAAAAGGTACACAGAACTTCTCATCTGAGATCAAAGTTTGTTCTACAAGCAAATGCTCCAGGCAAAGGCAGTGAAGTACAAATGCCAATTCTGAAATCACAGAATAAGTCAGTGAGGGACAGAAATGAAACTGGGGGCTCCTAGTCCCCAGTTCAGCATTAAAACCACTAACTTAAGCACAGGGAACAAGAGTTGCCATGAAGATTATAAAATAATCTCTCATACAGTTAAGACAAATGAGCAGCTGAATATTAAAACAAAAAATTTCTGTCCCATTTATAATTAGTAAGAATTAAGTTTAATAGACATCAGCGAACAGACTATGCACAAAACTAGTACAGACTGATTTAACCCACTAAATCCCTTGTCTGTGATCTCAAAAGCAATTGAATATTCAGAGTAAGTAATTTTACAACAAAGACCAATTTAGATTTATTTTTTATACACAGTTTGTTTTTTTAACAGTACAACTTGCTTCACAATGAAATTAACGAATGAAACTGGAGCTTGTAAAATGTGCTGTTAGATTAATGTCTGGGCGCGATTTTTTTTTCCTAAAAAAAAGTACTGCACAGATGTGCACATCACTAAAAAGAAAAATATCATAAACACAGACCTCGTTAGGGGAACTGGTAACTACCTACCTATAAAAAAATCTGAACCTCTGAATAAAAGCTTACAAAGGCTACAAGATACATTAATAACTAACAGCAATTAAGAGAGAGCACATGAGGCAAATCAGACACAACTTTAGAGCTTCTGAATAGAGTAAAAATTCAATTTTAAGGGCCAGGCAACACAAGGGATTTCATTCTCCCTTGCAGATTTAATCCCAAAGATATGACATTTCTGATATAAAAGACCTAACACCTTAACAGGCAAGCATTATTATGTCTATAAATAAGTGATTTAGAAAGATTCTTAATGTTTGAATCTCTAATTATGATTATTTAATCCATAGTAAATGTGTTTTTCCACAGAAGTGATTTAGAAAGATTCTTATTAATGTTTGAATCTCTAATTATGATTATTTAATCCAAAGTAAATGTGTTTTCCCATAGCAATACATTTTCAAATTTTTAAGTATATTTTTATTTAAAGCATTTACGAAAATTTCTTTTAGAGACTACTTTCAGGAACACGTCTATTTTACAAGGCTTTTGCATGATGATGTACTTTTGGGAACAGAAACAGTCTTTGGAAGTAAATTTTAGTGTCTCAAGTAGTATCTTAGTTATTATTACATTCACTATTTAAAAATATCTACAGTAAATTATTTTTACGTTATCCATGTCTTCTCTCTCTCTCTCTCTCTCTCTCTCTCCCAATTCAGAAATCTGAGTTTAAGAGTTTTTATAATATGGAGGGGAGTAGGTTGCAGTGATTATTTCGGGTGAAATCACGGTCATGTCCAAAGACATCACCCAGAGAGAATGCAGGCTCCTTACCAGGAACAGCACACACCAGGGTGACTGTCCACACTATGATGCTCCTATGCAATTTCAATTAAGCTCAACAGAGACACTTAGTATCCTAATGTGCCTTACTCAAAACATACACAGAGAATCAGCAATAATTGGGAAGCACTGCAAATGACCTGAAAATAAATGCATGTTTTGGGCTTAACGAGAAGAAGGCTTACACCAGACCAGGGTCACAAACTCAATGCCTCCTGGGCCTGGAAGATAAAATAAGTCGAGGAAAGGGCAGGCAGGTGTAAGGAGGAGGGAACAATGACAAACTAGAGGTGTACACACTCATCTAAAAGCATTCAAATCTTAAAGAAAAAAATGTAACATTGCACAGGCCAAAGAAAACATGTGGGCTATTCTCCAACCTCTAATTTAGAGTAGATTAAGAATAAATGAAGATAAATGGAGACCACAGTCTCATCTTGAACTTTCAAACTCCCAACTTTGTTGTTGTGATGTAGTCAATTCAATATTAAATGAGGGGACCATTCCTTGTCATTTAAAAAAGTTGTCCTTAACCTCTTTTCTTCATTAGGTCTTGGGAACATTTTTAAGTACAATGCCCAGCTCCTCATATAGATTCTTTAAAAACAAAAACAAAAAACAAAAAAAAGAAAATTATTCTTCAAGATGTTGTACACAATTCATGAAGATTCACCTGTATCCTCAGTGGCTGAGGACAATACTGAGGAGATACCACCTTGGCTGCTAAGATTCAGAGTTTTGACATTTCTTCGTATAGGCTTGCCTGGAAGTCATCGTATTTTCTGACAATATGGAAGAATTCAAGGATGATGTAATTTCCTCTTTGTAAGCACGTAATATCCATGCTACAGAAGCCTGAGAATCCAGTCATGTTCAAACATACCACTGTGACAAAAAAGCGAAGGTCATGTGTCTTCCAGATTAACAATCTCTAGAGTACATACACCTGCAATCAGATGCATCAATCAAGCCTTCCACTAACTCTGCCCTTTGTACTCAGGAACTAGTGAGTCACACAACCAAACTTCTGAGTCAAATCATCATCTGAAGGCATTTAACAGTACTCCAGTCAACATTGAACTGCATCAGTTTTGAGCTTAGAGCTCATGAATCCCAGCCTGCATACTCATCAAGGGGCATCGCCTAGAAAATCCATTGTAGGCTAGAGGAGGGTTTCACTTCAGTGAAGCAGTCTGTGGACTTCCTACTGCCCGGCGTAGATAATAAGACTCCTGTGCTTTCATCTGTTCAATCGGCAGCCCTGAGCTTGAACTGTGTAAGAGCACTGCAGTGAAATCTTCGGCAAATGCCTCAAAGGAGCTTACTGGCAAATTATTTCTGTGAGCAACACATCACCCACTCTTGAAGCTCCTTTTAGTCTTTGCCTTCAAAAATAATCCTTATATGAAAAAAAGATGGCAGCACTGGCACTGGACCACCCATATCAGAGTCCAACTTGATTTGCACCTGTATATTCCCTGAGGAAATGAAAGACCTGAAATAATTCAGACACTAATTTCTTCATGAAGAATTTAAGTTGCTCTCCATTTTAGACCAAATACTTTGTCTGCTTAGTGTAATCCTAAACAAATAAGCTGGTCATCATTTCCATTTTGTATAGTCTACATAATGTTACGTACTGTTTTAAGTTATAATTTGGTCACCCAAAAATAGCTCTCTTATAAATCTCACTTTGGGATGTTTTTGAACCTGGGAAGCTATCAGGTTGGTACCAATATTAGAAGAATCATTTCTAAAGGGAAAGTTGAATATGGAAGAGAAGATAGACTTTACAACTATCACAATAGCACAGTGAGCAGTGCTCCATTATTGATCTGTCAAGTATCCAGTTTTGGCTGTCATGTCTAATATGAGTGTGTTTTTTCTTCAGAAAAACAACTATATCCTGAATTCTTTATATTCTTTACCTATTCAAACACCTAGTAACTGTCAATGTGTTATTAAGGTTTGTCCATCCCACAACTCAGGAAGCCTGAAAGTTTTAATACCAACTATTCATTATATACACCAGCCTTTCATTTCTTCCCAGATCATTAAGATATATGAGAAATTGACCTAAATTAGCAATCTGTAAATAAAAGATTGAGGTTCTTTCAATTACTGTTATTAGTTGTTCTCCAACTAAATAAAATAACTTCCTAGAAAACAAAAATGATCAATTTAAAACACATTCAAAGAATCAAGTTTGAACTACTTGTCTAAATTATCTCAAATTTTTGAAGCATCCTAGGTCCTACTGTTCTATGCTTAAATTCTAAGTAGGTATTATCAGATATTATTCCCAGGGAGGAACACAATAAAATAAAAGGACCCACCAATAATGCATATGATAGGTAAGAGATACATTTATTTCTGTACTTGGGTTATGTTTCTGTCAATGAAACTTTCCTGGTAAAAATCACATTACCTTCGGCTACTTGATGATCCAGCCCGGTTACCCGGGCCATTACTTGAAACGACTGATATTGCATTTGCAATGGCTTCAACTGCAGAAAGCCTTTCAGCAAAAGTATTTCTTTCAGAGCGCTCTGCTTCTGAAACATAAAAGAAAAAATTAGCATCAACTTAAACTTCAAACATAACTAAGAGATTAAATGTGTATAGGCCATTAAATGCTAATTGCTATGTATTCTCGAGTATGCTCTAATTCACATACCAGAGATAATTAATAACTTAAGTTTCCTCTCTAAAGCAATAAGCAATTAAGATATATTCAACTACAGCCTTTAATATGAATTACTTTTTAAATCTGCCTTACTTTTCAAACCCCAAAGGTTAAGAATAATGTTATTCATAAGTAGAATGAAATAGCTTTCACTACTAAGGAAGAAAAAGACCCCCCGTATCAGTACCTCAATCTTAGTTTATATACTACATATTCAAATCACTATTCTAAAATGTGGCTACTAGAAGATCGTTGGCAGAATTCAAAATAAGAAAAAACATGAATTACACAGTTGCACTTCAGGTTTTCAGTTTTTCCCTTAATTCATCAATTAAAAACATTAAGGCAAAAATACTTATTTACTTTTCCAAAAACATCTAACAAATAATCAGGTGATTTTTCCCTCTACATTCTGAAATTTGAGATAAAGGTTGTTGCCTTAATATAACTTGCCTTCACTTAGTCTTCTGAAATTATAAAACCTGTATATCTCATAAGTATTACACATACAGTCTGTACATATCAGAGAGAATAGAACTCAAAACAACAAAAACACATTTGATTAAAATTTTATTTGCTTATGTCACACTCAATCCTAATAAGACACAAATCTGTACCTTCTAAGAATGACAAAACTCCTAGATTTTATGAAGATAAATAAAAGTACCATAATTTTTTATAGTGATTTTTCTTTCCCTTAATAGTTACTATATTCTAAAATTCCTTTTAAAGACTTCGATATAGGTTTTAATCTCACCTTCTTCTTCTTTAGTTTCCTTATTGCTGGTTGGAAAGCAAACTGATACACAAGCATGCAAAATATTCCGATTTCCATCACATCTGTGGCTGATGAATGTCTGTAGCATCTGTAGATTCTGCTCTAAAACAACTGCTTGCTCAAGATTCATAAGATATTGTCGACAGGCCTCATAGTCACAGCGTAGGATGTGCTGCATTAAGGTTTGTTTCTGTGCACGGACAAATTAGGGAAAATATCTTCAATAAATTTGAATGACATTACACGTCAAAAATTTCTCATGGCCAACAAAATAATATAATCAGCTCTGCAAATAAGTAAAGACAATATGAGGTAGCCTAGCAAAAGGAGCTGAACTTAAGGGTACACTTTAAATTAAATAAAGTATACAATTGACAGGATGAAAAAAGGTGGGTAAATTTTCTGTTTAAAAAAGAAACCACAAAACAGTAAATATTTTCAGCTTTTGCAACTACTCATCTCTGTGGCTACAATGGGGAAGCAGCCATATACAATGTACAACTGAATGGCAGCAGCTAGATTTGGTCTGCAGGCCATATTCTGTCAACCCCTGGTTTATGTCATGTAAGCCGGCAGTTGCCAACCGGTGGACCACTGGTGGTCCGTGAGGTCCGAAAGATTGGCGACTGCTGATGTAAGCGGTATATAACTATCAAATTAGGACCTTAATTAGTATTGTTAATCAATTAAGCGTATACATTTTATTTCAAGCCTACTCATACCCTCTTAAAGGTTATATCACACTATGGTACATGAAAACCAAAATCTTCAACTCCCCAGAAATTATGACACATGCAGTCCCCCAAACGTGACAACGAATGTCCTTCACTGTCAAAGACATGGTAGTACTGATAAAGCATCTATAAATATAGAAAGCGTAATATGCTGATTAAACCAGACAGCCAAACGACCTTCCAGACATCCTTCCAGATGAAGCTGGGGCTTTGAGGGCCGGGCCCCTTGCATGAATTTCATGCATCGGGCCTCTAGTAGAACATAGTAACTATCAGAGACAGCATACTATAGACAGAATATTTGTGTGTCCGTTCCCCCCCCCCACCCCACCCCCCGCCAATTCAAATGCTGAAACCCAATCACCAATGCAATGGGGTTTGGAGGTGAGACCTTTGGGAAGTGATTAGGTCATCAATTTGGAGCCTCATGAATACGATTAATGCACTTTAAAAAGGCTGAAAGCCCGGCTCAGTGGTTGACAACCAACCTATGAACCAGGAGGTTGCACTTCGATTCCCAGTCAAGGCACATGCCCAGGTTGTGGGGTCAGTCCCCAGTGTACGGCATGCAAGAGGCAGCCAATTACTGTATGGCTCCCACGTCGATTCTCTCTCTCTCTCTCTCTCTCTCTCTCTCTCTCTCCCTCCCTCCCTCCCTCCCTCCCACACACACACCCTCCCTCTCTCCCCTTTCATCTCTGAATCAATAAAAATATACATATTTTAAAAAAGACTGAAGAAAGCCGAGTTCTCCCCTCCCACCATATGAGGGTAAAGCAGGCCCTCACCAGACACCAAATCTGCCCACGCCTTGATTTTGGACTTCTAGCCTCCAGAAATGTGAGAAATAAAATTCTGCTGTTATAAGCCACTCAAGTCTACAGCAGCATAAACAGAAAAAGCCAAACATACCAAAAAGTTCAAATGGGCGTCTTTCAGAACGTAAAACTATAGTTATGAAATATTTAATGGAATGAATCCAAAGCACTGGGTTTGGAAAACAAACCAAGTACTATTGTTCATTTTAACTAGACTTAGAAATTACTGGAAGAAAGCAGGTGGGAAAAGTGTGGAAACACAAAGGAGAGAAGAAAGATGCATTCAAACAACTTGCTATCTCCCCACCCCAAACAGCCTAAATAACGCATCCCTTCCCCCATCCTCATGGGGAGAATTCAGGATTGGGGGAGGGGAGGGGGGAGCACAAGAAAATATAGCTAAAAACTATTTTCATTACCCACCACACTGATAAACCATTTTGATTGTGGAATTAAAACTAAGACTCTGAGATGAACCCATAAACTACAATCTCCAGTTCAAGAGTATGAGGGCCACATAAGACTAACCCTGACAAAGTCTGGTGACATACTAGTATATGCATTAATCAGTATATTGAGAAAATATGTCAAAGTCTGTCCAAAGAATAAGCAGCACAGTACTTTTAAAAGTAATGAAAACCCAGACACTCTGCAGCACACTGCTGTGACACAGTGTTTTCAAGCAACCAGCCAGCCAGTCATCTGGTTGGAAGCAGCTGCTAAGGAAACTTCCATCTCCAACCTGCTGGACTGAACACGGGCTCTTGCACAGAGTGTCAGTATCACACTCACTGTTACAAGCAAAGAAGTTTATTTTGCATCACTCTATGTTGAATTTGTCACTTATTCGTACAGCAAAACGCAGGGAGAGGAGAGTTCATTAAAAATAATTCTTGCAGGTCTACTATGCACCAAGCCCTGAGGTACAAAGATAAATGACACACTTTATCCCTACCCGTGGGATGAGGACACATTTCATCTCTACCCTTGAGAAGCTGAAGAAGTGAAGGGGTCATGGAATCAAATGATTGCAGAAGCATCTAAAGTAATATAAATGAATGAAGGAGCTGGCTGTAAAAAGATAGACAAACTATATAGTAAATAAATGACAACATGTGGACTCAGAGCAATAAATTTTAAGCAGCAGGAGCTGCAATGAATTGGAGAACAAGGCAACATTCATTCTAGTTTTCCTTCAACCTTTATTCATGCTCCTTTTCTCAGTCTCTTAGGCAGGTTCCTTATTATCTCCTGGCATTTAAATGCTGGGCTGAGTCCTTAGACCTTTTCTCTTCTCCATAAGCTTGGTAATTGCATTATAGTTCCTTTAAATATCACAGATATACATACTACATCTCCTAAGTGTATTTCTCCAGCTTGGTCCTCTCTCTCCTGTCTTCAGACTTACACATCTAACTCTCTATGCACCATTTCCTCTTGGATATCCTAAAGGCATCTAAATCTAGCACGTCTAAAACCAAACTCCTGCCCTAGCCAGTTTGCTCAATAGATAGAGCATTGGCCCATGGACTGATGGGTCCAGATTTCGATTCCAGTCAAGGACATGTACCTTGATTGCAGGCTCAATCCAGGGCTCATGTGGGAGTGTGGGCTGGACACAACAAATCCATGTGCCTCTCTCGGAGTGTGTGTGTGCAGGATGCAGCCGATCAATGCTTCTCTTTCATCATTGATGTTTCTATCTCTCTCTCCCTCTCTGAAAAAGTATTTTTTTAAAAAATAAATAAATAAAACCAAACTCCTGCTATCACATCCCAGCCCCTGAACCTGCTTCATCACTAGTCTTCACCTCCATGAATGGCAATTTCATTTTTCTAAAAACTTTCACCCTCTTGCTTTCTCTATTTAATACCATATACTTAGCCATAAGCAAATCCTGTTTGCTCTATCTGAAAACATATTTAGAATTATCTAAAATCTAACCAGTTCTGACTCATAGCTGCCTGAGCCAAGCCACCATAATCACCTCCCACCTAGACTATTGTAATAGCCTCCTATGGCCTCCCTACTTCCCCTGTCTTCCTAGAACTCCCAGCATGTCAGCAGTGATCCTCTCTAAGTCCGATCAGGTCAATCTCTGCTCACATTGCTCCAATAAATTCCAAAGATGTTACCTCCCCCGCCTAACAAATACTCAACAGCAGCATGCGAAACGAAACTCCTCCTCCTCCCTTTCTTCCTTCTATGTGTCCTCTCCACATCAACCTCACCTGACTCAGAAGCTGCACAATCAACTTCTTCCTTTCATTTACTGCTGGCATCCAGTCACCACACTTTATAGCTTCTCCTTCCTCAATATCTCTCAAATCTATCCCCTCTTCCTCATTTTCAGTAATTCAAGCTTTCTCTCTCACTGGATAATTGTATTGGCCTGTTTATCTGGCCTCTGAACTTTTCCATCCACTGCTTAATCTTCCTTATGAAAAGCCAGCTTAAATTCCTTCTCCTCCTAGCTTTCAGAGGAACTCTGACACCCCTTAGGTTAGCACACAAGACTCCCTACTACCTTTCTCCAGGCTTAGCAGTGCCACTCACTAATCGCTATGGGCCCTACCTTCTGGTTCTATCAAAAGAATGTGCACATCCTGGCTGGTGTTGCAAAGTGGTTAGAGCATTGGCCCTGGCACCCCAAGGTCTTGGGTCCAATTCCTAGTCAAGGACATGCACCTGGGTTGCACATTTGATCCAAGTCCTCGGTTGGGGCATGTGTGGGAGGCAACCAATGTGTCTCTCGCCCTCCCTTCTTTCCACTCTTTCTAAAGATGAACACTAACCAAAAAAAGCAATAACCAACAAAAGAGATTGTGCACATTCTCCCATACCTGAGATAACAAACTCCCACCTTCATCTTGTGTCCGAAAGACCCCTCTCTGATTATTCAGAGTTCCATGTAGACATCGCCTCCTCAGAGAAGCCTTCTCTATAATCACAGTCTGATTTATAATGGTCCTCAGACTGTGTATACCATTCTCAACACTTAAATTGCATGCAATCACTAATTTACTCATCTCTCTTGTCCTATTAACTCCTATAGGGAGGGACAACGAATGATTTTTCAAGACTGCTTCCCTGGACTCCAGTATCTTCTGAATTCAAATACCAAGTAGTTTCCAAAGTCACATTACCTCTACAGCCATGATGATAATAGCAGCTTTCTTTTTGATTGTTGAATTGGCAGGCAGATTTATTAAAGAATGTACACCCATGCCAAGACTACTAATGGGTGGAAGATCAAGCCAATCAGGATCCCTTATTCCTCCCATGCAATCTTTGGCCATTGGGTAAATAGTACCATTTCCATCTCGAAGAATAATAGGAGACTCCTATAACAGAGAGAAAATAAAAGATGGCTACCACACTGTACCTCTGATTTTTTCCAATAGGTGTATTTGTTTTTAATTAGATAATGGGTGTGTGTGTGTGTGTGTGTGTGTTAGTAATAATAACCAAATAAGAAACTTAGTATTCAAATGTGCTGAAAATCCTAAATTCTTCAATAGTTTAATAACAAGCAAACTAGAGCCAAATTCCAAGCATCCCGTAAATAACAATGTTGTCATGTCACTTTTCAAAAGCAAAAACAAGCCTCTGTACCTGTCCAGCAGTGAAAATGGCTACATTCCTCTCATTCTGACCAAGGAAAGCAATGCTGCTTGTCGGGAAGTTGTTTTCCTGCTCTGCTTTTCCTGTCGCAAGATCAAAGATACAGTACCGCACCCAATTCCCAGTCTTCAGAACAGCATGCACACCTTTAAAACATAAAATGTAAAAATATTATTACGTCTTTAGTAATCTCTAATAAGTACTACCAAATTTTGACCTTTCTGCCCATATTTGTAAGTCAATTTCAACAGATACATTTTATTCCGTAACATTACACCCAGAGAAAAACTGTCAACTGCCTCAAATCACTTGATTCTGCTCAATTGCTGTACACAAGTGTTAAGAGGATATAGAATATGCCAGCTGAAAAACTTGTCAAATCTTTACCTTTGGAATCTACATTCACTGCCAATATTTCTGTTTTTTCAGGTATACAAAGCTTTTTAGGAGTCCGTTGGAAACAGTCAGGAACTTTTGGTGTTCCACCAGTTTTGACAACCTGCATGACACGAAAAGAATTTTGCTCTCAAACGTGTAACATCCCCAAGGAGTCAGTCCCAGTATTCACCCGCTTAGTGAGTCCGCCACACTTACCTGCAGTTCATCGATTCTAAGTAACCTACAGTCCTGCAGGAGCGAAGAAGGGTCCGCATCTGAGCCAGAGCTGCTCTGACAGTTTGTATTGCTAGACGTGCCAGGAAATTTTACAGCAACATAGGCACCGTCCACTTTTAGCACCTAAAAAGAGAGGTAAATGAATATGCTACATTAATAACTTATATGAAATCAGTACGCAAACGGCATTCATTAATTAATTTAACATTGAGGCATTTAATTCCTTGTATTTCTTCAATAATCACCAAGTTGTAAAATTAACCTGAACAAACTCACCAAAGCTTGATATCTATTAGCAAGGTTTATTTTCTAGAGAAAAACTAAACTACATAGCCTGTGGATGTTTGGCAATCAACTGAAAAAATTAGTATAATCTACAAAATCCTCGCTCATTCCTCTTTATTAGTTTAGAGCCCCGCTGTGCAATGATGGCAATGTTCTGTACCTGCGCTGTCCTATCTGAGAGCTATTAGTGGCTATTAAGCACTTGAAACGGGAGTTGATATGACCGAGTAGCTGGCTTTAATGTTATTTAATTTTACTAAAATTAATTAGCCAATACACAGTGAGGGGCTGCCATACTGGACAGCACAGGTATACAGTCAATGCACGGAAAGGCAAGCGTAGGACTTGAAACTAGAATACCTGAGTCCCCCCTCTGCTACTTACTGCTTTTGATTTTGAGCCAGTGAGACATTCTCAGAAGAAAAACCTGCCCATAAACTATAGTTATATTTTGACAATCAAATGAAAATGGAGTATGCAAAAGGTTTTTGTAAACTGCAGTGTGTGGTGGGGGTAACTATTCTTTCCATTAAGAACATATGAAAGAACATCATATTTCAGAAATTAATGGGCAATCAGGAAAACCTTTACTTTGCAGATATTTTACAACTACAGATCTATTTTGGTTTTAAGTATATGCAGAGAGAAAGAGGAAATTAATGGCATTCCAGCTGATAGCCTCTACTAACTTGTTTCCTAGAAGGCAAGACACACTCCAGAAAGAAGGGAAGTGAAAGGTGACTTAGAGTAGTAAGATTTTTAAATGTTATGTAAAATGATCTCCATTAGAACCGTCTAACAGTTCCAAAGAATGGACTATATAAAAAGGTAATCTATCTTTGCAACTTTTCTGCACATCTAAAATTATTCCAAAATAATATTTCTTTAAAAATCAAATAGCATAAATGCTCAAGGAGAGGCATAATAATCATCTATCTGTCATGCGTAGAGGAGATACCAGCATCTCATTAGGGATGGAACTTTAAGAGGTCATTGAAGGTGAGAAATAAAGCAGCTTTGAAGAAAGAGCTGATGAACACTCACCAACCATAAACTCTTGGATAACCAATAGCATTACAGTTGTTAGTAATTAGTTCTTAGATATTCTGAACACACCTTGCCAACGGGAACATTCTTAACATCTTCCACAAAAACGACTTCCCGAAGAGACCACTGCTCTTCGTTCACCTTTTCCTCCTCTTTGGGGGCAGGGGTGGACCGTCGTCGTTCTTAGACAACAACAAAATGGTAAGTACCAAAAAGAAAATGTAAAAGAGACTTTATAGATTTCATCTAAGTATATGAATAAAAGATCATTCGTAAAGGGATACATAATTGAGGTAACACAGCAGTCCACCTGGGACCTATTGACCAACAGGTACTACACATAACACTTACTGTATGGCATTGACGCACTGCTGGCAATGGAGGATGCGTCACTACACGTCGATGCCGGAGATGGTGGGGGTCCCATTTCTGTTTTCACTGGTTCCTGCTTGCTTTCAGGCCTGAGATTAGAAATAAGATTCTCCTTTTAATTAGGAATGTGAAGTATCAGGCACTTGTCAAATCGTTATTTTTAAGACTCACGTTTATTCTTACATAAGGGAATAAAATATTAAAAATTTATACAAAATGGTATATTTTTAGGACTCAAGTTATTGAGGAGGGTACACAGTACCTACTTCAAATTTTTAGTATTGGTTTAAAATAGGGAAGAAAAATATACCATATAATGCTATCAACAACTCGGAACAATGCTTCAAATAAGCCTTATCAAGGAATAACAATGAAAGCTACACTTGGTTTATCAACATAGTTTTATCAAAATCCTCTTGAGCAAACAAGTTTCACATTTCAGTGAACCCTGATGTGGACACATAACAATTTAACTGAAAAAAATGGTAAAAGCAAATAAATAAAAACGTTCACTAGATCATTAATTTCTTGGAGTTCAAAGAGGGAACTCTACTCACAATGGTTACACAATTTATTCTTGAATCATCTGGTGATGAACCATCACCTGCTATAACTAACATGATAAATTAATTGTAGAATTAAATAAACTACCCTCTTCATTGAGTTAGTCTACAGATGCTAAAAATAAATTTTTATTTATTAAAGGGCAGAAGTCAATTTTTAACCAAAAAAGTCACTTTTAGTCAGAATGTGTTATATATATAGATCATCCTGGCATGTATTATAATCAGGGCCATCATCCTAACCTAACCTTCATCTTCTTCCTCCCACCAGGAACTTCATCTGAGTTTAGACACAGTCCACAGAAAACCAGTGCTGTTCTCACCAGCATTTAGCAAAGTGCTCGTGCAAGCACACATGAACAGTTGGCTCATGCAAATCTTGTGATGGTGGAAGCAAGCCGATTCTGAATAATCACTAGCACGCCTTTAAAGTGAACGCATTTCAATGACTTGCTAAAAAGAATTGATTGACATGAAAATGATTATCTCTTAGCATTTAATTTCACTTAGTTCATTTACTAAATTTATTAATATAGATGGAAAATTTCAAGGAAGATCTTGAAAAACTTATGTACAGAATTTAAAAAGCATATTCCATTTTAATCTCGTTTACACTATTTTTATGCACATCAAAAATATTTCAAACGCTGTAGAAAGTTTCATAAACAATAAAAATGTGTTTTTGTTACTTTTATTTTTAGGATTAAAAAGAAATCAGTGTAATTAGGGAGAGAGTCTATAAACCTTTTAAAAAAGAAGATCTAAAACAAAAAACTTTAGACATAGATTACAATAGTTTTGGCTTATTAAAGATTCTTTTTTTGTTTTAATCTTCATACAAAGATATGTTTTTTTGGTTTGAGAGAGCGGGAGCGAGAGAGAGAAAGAAAGGTTTCAATGTGAAAGAGAAACATTAATCAGCTGCTTAGGGTGAGGGGTAGAACCCACAACCTAGGTATGAGCCCTGACTGGGAGTCAAACCCTCAACCTTTTTGATGTACAAGATGAAGCTCTAACCAACTGAGACGCCCAGCCAGGGCTAAAGACTCTTATTTAACTTATTTAATGGTAATCCCCTTGTTTCAGAATTTCAATTTGCATTTTTTAACAGTAAGAGGAATAACAGCAATAGATGTAGTAAATTTATAATCATTATATTCACTTGAGCAAACTAAAAGTTTTCAGAACTTTAAAAAAAACTATGTGTAGTAAAATTCCAATTATTTCTTTTTAATGCCTGTATACATTTAGAAAAAAATACATCAAAATATTTAAAATGTTATTTCTGGGGTATAATATTCTTCTTCCATGTTTCCATTATAGTCACATATTTTTATAAGATTAAGAAAATAGCTATTTAAAAACTCTTATTCAACTTAATCCTCACCTGAGGACATTTTTTTCCACTGATTTTTTTTTTTTTTAAGAAAATGGAAGGGAGGGAGGGAGAAAGGGAGGAGGGAAAAAGAGAGAGGGAGAGAGAGAAACATTAATGTGAGAGAGACACACAACTGGTTGGTCTCCTGCACATCCTATACCAGGGATTGAGCCCACAAAACCAGGAATTTAATGGATAACCCTTTAGTGTGCAGGGCAACACCCAACCA